GAGGTTTGCGTGCTGTGTGGAAATGCTGTTAGGGTGAAGAGGTGTGGCAGCCGTGTTTGTGCACCTTGGCTCCCGGTCTGCAGCAGGAGGCTAATTACACCCACTGGAGAATGAGGGACATTTGACATCCATACAGCAAACATTCGCTTGCGTTAAGCAACTGGATTGTAAACTACCATTTTTCTTTCCAGTTTAAGAAATACCACAAAGGTTATGCTGCTCCAGAAATGTGTTGCAAAACCAAGTCCTTGTTACTAGCAGTTTGTGCTTTGCCACTTTACATAGAGGCTGACCCTTGTCCTGCGCTGCTGCTTAGGAGACAGACGGAAGAGAGATGTTTATTCTGCTTCTGTACCTGCTGAACCACAGGCTGCTCCGAGAGCCACCATGTTCCTCACTTGCTGTTAGGAGTGTGCCTGGCAGAGTGGCTACATACTGCTCTACAGGAAAAGCAAAGCTCCACTTTCTGGGCTTGATTTATTTATGGATTTATTTATTTAGAGCCTACACCCCCTATATCATTCACCCCGGTACGTGCCCCAGGGACCAAGTAGTGCAGGCACACTGATGCTCTTAAGGCTAGTTCTTTCCTTGCAGCTGGCTGGCCACATCCCTACAGTGTAACAACCCCTTCTCAGTCTTGGTCTCTTCTGAGCCCCATATGGCCTCCTCAGGATGCAGTCTCTGTTCATTTGGACATTATTTCTTTTCAGCTGCTGCACATGTGACTCGGAGCTACAGCTTCAAGGGGGTTTACTGAGGGGGAAGAGGAGGCAGGGTGCCTTTTTGGAGAGTAAGCTAACACAGAGGGAGACAACTGGCAGAGTCTTGCTCATGCTGTCTCTAGGGAGCAGCCCTGGAGCAAACCATGCCCTGGCTTCACCCAGAGGAGCTTGTTCCTCTCACCAGGAATCCCAGAACTGAGCTCATATAAGAGCAATTCTGGGACCAGGATTTGAGAGTAAACTGTGGGGCCACAAAATTTGGCCATATAGAAGTAGGGACTAGTTACATTGGGGATTAGATCAGTAGTGATCACACATGCAAAGCTATAGGGGATGGCATAGGGTGTTGGGTGGATGTCTTTGCAAGCAGGCACGAACCTCTGCCCGAGTTCTGCAGTCCAGGTTTTTAAGTCCTCAAACTGTCTGCCTGGTACCCCCTACGCTCTGTTATGCTGCATGGGGGCTTTGCTGGGTGACTCACAGGCTATTTGGGTGGAGATTTCCTTTCGGCTGCTTGGCTGCCGCTCTGCAGGATGGCCCAGAAGTCCCCTGCCCTGCAGCATCACAGCTCAGGCTGCAAACCTCATGTCGGAAGGGATAAACCAGAGACGGCAGAAAACTGGGCCGCAAAATTTCTGCCTCAGTCTGAACTTCTGCTACTGTTACTGAAATGCTGTTCTCAGTATGAGGGCCCAGGTATGAGAGAAAATCTCATTGTTACAATTAAAAATGGTGTTGAAAAGATGGAAGTCTCTTTTAACAGAGAAACTCCCAAACACTGAGCAGGCTTCTTGATTTTTCTTTGACTTAGTGCAGTGGCATGTTCCATGTAACAAGGACACAGTTTCTGGAGATCTAATGCGGAGGGAAGCCCAGCAGAGCAGGTCTGGTATATCTTTTCTCTGTGCTGGCTCTGATTAGGATAGCAAAAGGGAGACACGTCACCTTGATTAGCCTAGTTGGTGGTGAAAGTCTAAGGTGTTGGCTTTCAACCTCTCTGACTTTTGCAGTGAGACCCCTATGCAGCGAGCAGAAGCTTTGAGACAACAGGATTTTTTTTTGTTTGTAACTGAGTTTTCAGATCCCCTCAAAGCAGCTCACAGGTGCGCACAAGTCTCATTCTCAAAAGCTGTTTCAGTAATCAAGTATACTGGTGTAACCTAAACTGAGACTGATTAGCTTTAATTCGACAGTACTTGTCCAGGCTGTGCTCTGAAGTGAGAGAAGCCTAGTTTTGGGAAACAAATGCATTTTGTTTCTTATTTTGCAGTTGTCTGAGATACCAAGATAAACACATCTCACTATTTGCAAGGCGTTTAAGAGGTTTCAGGACAAATGTTGCTAATATTGGCCGCTAGTTGGCATTATTGATACATCGCAGTAAAGGGAGGTGGTGGAATAAAAACCTGGGAGGGCAGCGCTTGGGGAGCTGAGGCATCCTCCTCCCTGCTCGCCTCGCAGCTTTCCCCAGCTCTGGAGGTTGATGGGTTGTGCTGAATTACGGCTGAGCCGAAGCAGGTGGAAACCACCTGGACACCACAGCCCTGCTGTGCCTTCCCGGCTGAGCGCCCTTTTCCCGAGTTTGTTGCTGTCTGTACTGGCTGGGTTCCCTGTCAGGAGAAGAGGTGACAAATGATTTTGGTCACAACCTTGCCCAAGAGGAACTTTCTTAGGCTGAAGACTCCTCACGGGCTTTTGGTCACCACAGGTGTGACGTAGTGTTTAGGCCAAACCCCAAATGCTCAAGGTCTGTAGTATTAATAATTACATTTTGTAGATGTAGCAATAATTTATCAGCAACTTGCATGGAAGCACTTCAAGAGCACGAGGCTGCTGGGAGCCAGCTCAGCTCATCTTGTGCAACCCATGGGTGTGTGTATTTTTGAAAGAGCCTTTTGTTATAGAGTTTGGTGGAATTAGCCTTCTCTTAATCTGCTTTGACTGGGAATAGATTTATGCCAGAAGACCTGATAAATAAGATGTCACTGATGAAATAAGTATGAGCTGAGGTATCAGAGTGCTGCCCGAAGTGGATTTTGCTTGGCAGAAAGAGAGCACGACAGCAATTCAGCCTTTGGGAATGTAGAAACTTTGGAATAAAAGAGAAAAAGAAATTCCACATCCTCTTTAAGACAAAAACTTCATTAAATTGTTTTATAGAATAGTTTCATTTCATACATAGGGACTAATCGTCTTTTAAATTAATTCCAAAATAATTACTGAACAGCATGGATAAAGGTGCTGTCTGTCCTTGCCTGCATGTGGTTTAGGAACCTTCCACGACACAGTAGCATTGCAATGAGAGAAATCCTCTTCTGGTTTGAAATCCATTTTTAATCTCGACATTTTTAAGGGAATTGCAAGCAACTATGCCGCCAAATCTAATTTTCTGGATTATAGACTTCTCAGATTCACATCACCATTTGCTCATTAAAAGACAAGATCCATTTGCTGCAGTAGTTGCAGACCCTCCTGGCTAGATTAAAATGACTGGCTTTCTGGGCCACCTGGCAGGGCTGAGAAGGCAAAGGCTGATCAGTTGGATCTGCTTTTGGCAAGCTGGGTTGTGGGTCCTCCCATCAGCTACTGAGTGTGCAAAGGGAATTGGGGGGGGGCTGAAGGAGCCCTGAGCAGCAAGCACTTTTCAACAAGGAAATACTTAAAAGCGGCTAAGGTACCATAACTGAGATCTAAGGCTTGAAGAAAAACAGAACTGTCTCCTTGTGTGTTTAAAACATATGGCCTGATTTCACAAATCCTCGCTTGCATAAAGAAGTTGATTAAATGAGGGAGAAGGTGCACTTGGGAGAGAGCTGCTGATTAGGGAGCAACTGAGTTTTTACCTTTATGAGACCGTGCTTTTTCTGGCACTGCTTGGCATCTGATTTTATTTGATGGGTTACATTTGCAAATTTTACGGTGGCAGCATAAATTCAATCTATGGTGTAAACCAACAGTCTTTGGAGTAGAAAACTGCCTAGCTAATTCCCAGTGAAACCCTTCCTTCACCTGACAGCGGAAGAAATATTTGAATAATATAAAGTAACTCCCTCCTGCCTCCTCACGGGCTGATTAATATAATTTCACATTGCACCTGTCCCATGTTTTTTAATACAACTAAAACGTGTATAATAATCTAAATTATAGGCCTTCAATTTGCATAATATACTTTAGAAATACCGTGCTGTTTTACTACCTATTTTTTTGGGCAGCCACTGTGTTAAAAACATCCTAGTTGCAACTCGTGGACAAAAATGCACGCTTGTACTTTAGAAGATGGTGACTTCAGTGGAAATGAGGAAAGCAGAAATATTTCTTTGAAAAGCAGAAATCTGAGAAACCTCCCCTGTGAATATTGGTAATATTTCTGTAGTGTTTTTAACAGTAGTCGCAGGCACATGCTGTTTGAAAAGCAGAAATCTGAGAAGTCTCTAAGGTGAATGCTGGTAATAACTCGTAGTGTTGTTAACAGTAACGGCAGGCACGTGGTTTCGCCTACTTTTTGTTTCAGCATTGTGTTGCTTACCAGCTTCTCCCTGCTGGCCTCAACCGAGAAGCTTTACCACCGCAGTGTGGTGCAACCTAAAACCAAAATAACTTCTGTGTCTGCCCCCTGCCTACTACATGCTCCGATAACAGAGGCAGAGGGATGACTCACCTCTGTTGTGAGCAGCCACTCACGTTCCCCTTCTCTCTGGATGCTGCTCACTTGAGGCACATGACCAAAAAAATCCCCGTCCTCCCAAACGCTCCCGCACTCGGGGCGAGGGGTGCATGGGCACGGGGTCGCCAGCCTGCATCGGTGGTGGCAGGAGGCCGAAGGCGACACTCATCGCTTCCATCTCCGCAGCTGCGCAAGAGGGTGGAAATTTGGGGTTGCGTGCGTCGTGAGCGGGGGCTGCAAAAGCTGTGGGAGGCCTCCAGGGGCAATCGGGGAGGACAGGGTGAGAAGTGGCACCCATGCCCAGGATCCCCATCATCCCACCCCATCCCCGGGATCCCCATCATCCCGTCCCCACCGTCCCCATCTCCAGGATTCCCAGGACCCGAG